TATATATATATATATGTAAATAATATAACATTTTTTTATTTATATTATAAGTTACAGCATATGTGATAATTAACTCATTTCACCGGGACTCAATTTTTTTATAATTATATGATAGGTCCCATATAGGGACCTTTGCATACAGCACTGTGGTACAGACGTGTCAAGATCGGTCACGTGATCAATGACATTCCTTGCGCATGCGCACGAAAGCGGAGAGTTCCGTCTCACTTATCCGGCACGATTTTGTTATCGTTCGCTTGACGCTCGAGTCAACTCGCTCATTTACTTCGCACTCGTTCGCACTTCGCAGTTTGTTTCGAGACGCGAAACGATGAGGTTTGTCGATGCTCGCAATATTCGCACGACCACGATTCGATGTCACAACGACAAGCCCGATCAAGCCGCTTTTCGTCTGCGCTTTCTATCTCTTTGCAACAGAAATCAGCCCAAATGCATCTCATTCTCTTGGTGCACCGAATGACGTAAAACAGAATAGTACTGCGTCCACAGTTGACGCAGGACGAACCTTTAGATTGAAGAAGAAGAAAAGGAAAAGAAAAGAAGGATATACATATACGCGCGCATTTCAAAGTGGAGAGCAACAATTAAAAATAGGAAGAAAGGAATCGGAGACTTGATATATACGCGTCGGCGAGAGCGAACGAGAAAGATGCCGAGGGGATTCGATTTACGAGCGACTCGAAAGTGTATCGAGAGAATCGACGACGTACAATAGTTTATATACAATGCGTAACAACGAAAGATAATACGAAGCAAGTATACATATCAAAAGGAAATTTCGCGTCGGACATAAATTACAGAGAACGCAAATGGAACGTCCATAACAAATCCTACGGATTAGAATTATTAGAAATATAATTGGAAAAGAAGAAGAAGGCATTTACCGTCACGTCGTATCGCGCGGCGCAGTACGCAGTGCGTTGATTATTATTTATTTTTCGAACGAGCGATTCTCAAATTGAGGGAGAAGGAACACTTTTTCTGCCGCTCCGCGACCAGAAGAACCGTGAGGATCAAAAAATGTGGTGCTCTTCCAGCGAGAGCGCTCAGAAGGAGCGTGCCCGAGGAGTCGACGAGAAGAGATTGCGGGACGATGGGAACAACGATGACGACGACGACAATGACGACGAGTTCGTGAAGGATAATATCGACTCCGGATTTCTATCGGCCGGCAATATGCAGGTCAGCGACGAGATTCGCGAATCTTGTGTATTACAGCCGCGGCAGGAAGACAATTGGCGGATGAACGAGCGAGTCGCGTCGACATCGGGAGCGACGACCTCGGTATCGCCGTTATCATCGGCGATGGCGGCGGTCGTCGACAGCGGCGTCGTGGATGTCGACCTCAGCGAAGGCCTGAACCAGCTCACCTTGCAGAAGCAGCCTAGCTTGAATCCCCTCGCCATTGACGGAGTTGAACCCGAGCCGACGACAATCTTTGAACTAATGCCCATAAAAACGGGGTCCAAATCGAACGAAAGACTGAGGCAGCACCGGGACGATCTTCTGCTCAAAGAGCATCAGCAAGAAGGTGCCAAAAAATGTGCAATAATTAATGAGAATATCTGGCAGCTTTACTATACGCAGGACGATGACGGTGACACGTGAGTTTGACATATTTGTGTTACCTATTATATATTTATTAATTTATGCGAAACGCAAGTGAAAGGGGCCATATTCGGGCCAAGGCAGGTTTTAATGCCTAATAATGCATTGTGGTAAAAATTCGCATAATACATTATTATTGAATTTCCAGTTCAAACAAACTGCGCGCCGAAATTGTTCGTCGGTTTTAAAACATAGTCCTATACTGAAGCTGGAGTACAAAATATTATAAATGAAATCGTCAAGCAATTTAATATAATTGATGTTAATAAAGTATCTTTAAAGCACTGTAAATAATTTATTGCTTACTAGCGTCAATAATATTGAATTACTTGTCAACTTAATTTCTGATATTACATTTGTGCAAGACTGTATTTCAAGACCAACAATAATCAGCGCGCAATTTGTTTGAACTGTGGACATTTAAAAAATTATATTAGGCATAAGACTTTAGTCGAAAATGACTTTCTTCTGCACTAAATTCCTTTGAATTTCTGTCTCTCCCTCTTGTTTTGTCCCAAATATTTAAATTTGACCTTTAACATTCTGACATTATATTGTACTTAGATTATCTAATGTTATTATCTAATATGCAATAAATTATTGGGTCGTTCAGAAAGTCTGTGCGAATTTTTCAGTAGATGATGTTCAAAAGTCCAGGACTTTTACGAACGAGGAATTAATTATCCGATAGAGAGAAAAATATTGTTAACAAAATGATACATATTCTACAGATTGAAATTATTTTTAATTAAAAAAGTTTTTATTCGAATTTTGCTAATAATCTGTACAGATTTTCTAAGCAACTCAATATTTTTATATCTGGAATCACCGGATATAAACGTATCAGCTGAAGTTGTTTTCCAAGCCTCTAATGTTGATAAAATTATGCCTAAGATATAATAAAATTTTGTAATGTAAATATATACAGCCTCTGTGTTTATTAACGAGGATGGAAATGCGATATTTAGAAAAATATATAAAAAATAATTTTTAACAATAAGTATACATTGCTGAACAATTTTTATATCATATAATTATACATAGAAATCGATTCTTAGAGGCTGCTTGTAAATAGATTATGTAAATAGATCAGCCGTTGAAAAATAATGGTACTAGCGGAACATCTATACATAATTTATGATACAATTCCGTTTAATAAAGACCGATTTACACAACGCGAAAAATAAAAATAAATAACTTGTCCTTGGTTGATTATTAATTTCTCCAGTTTTATCTAATTTTCCTAAATCGTAAAAAGATTTGATGCCAACAATTGCTGCTAAGTTAAATTCTAAAACTTACCTTTTTAAAAAAAGGTAAAAAAAGCGGTAAGCGTGCATGTTTCACGTGTAAAACCACCATTTGGGCCGGTTTCACCAATGCCAATTACTTAATCGGCCGTGAAACTGATGACTAATCACGTTTGCTGTTTAGTAGAACTAATGATATG